CAGACTGCCCAGGAAACTGAAACCTTCAGTTTTCACAATTTTGTTTGCAGTTTCTTTTCTGTTTCGTTAAACAATTGACTGTGGGCTGGAATCACATCCTGCAAACAACGAGTCTCCAGATGGAAACGTGTTCTCTGAGCTCCTTACATTTGTTTCTAGTGTTTGTCTGTCGTACTTCTCTGACAATTTTTGCATGTTTTTCCAATTCTACCCTTCCCTTGATTTGCAGCTAACAGCACATTATTACTTTTGTCTATAAGCAATGACAAACACCAGCTTCCTGTTTTTCAGTGATTACTTTCACTGACTCGTCTCTACATTCTGCAATATAAAGCCATGTTGTGTTAAGATGAGTTTTTCTTTTACTTTTTGTTCTTTTGCAGAATAACTCAGGTATTAAATCTTTGCCAAAATTCTCACCTGACCTTTGGACTTTTAGCAGTACATAGAATAATTTTAGCGTTTGTTGTAAAACACAGAAACATTGAAATATGAACCTGGAGGCGAGTGGGAGTTTTTAAAGGAGATGTACTGCAAGTCACGGAGGTTATGGAGTAGGCGACTTTCATTGCTAACACTTGTTTGAATTAAGCTGAAAAACTGCAGCAGAACAAAAGTAGGAGGTAATAATAAATACAGAGGACAGCAATACACCATTGTCTGTTAGAATGTTGGATCCTGTTGGAAGTTTAAAGTAAAGAGGTCAGTGTGTATCCCTACGAAAGTAAAATAGGAAAAATAAATGTGGTAAAGGAAGGAAATCTGTCAGCATGAATGTGTGAAATAACTCATTCATTTCCCAGACTGTCCTGTAATCAAACAGCAGAGACCTGTTAATTCATAAAAATGCTTTTTTATTGTTTGTTTTGTTTTGTTGTTGAACTGTGTGAAGTATATATAATGTATATGTATTAGGGCTGGGCGATATGACCCAAAATTCATATCTCGATATTTTTTAGCTGGGTGGCGATATAAGATATATATCTCGATATTTCTTTAAAGCCATAAGTTAAGAACAAAAAGAGAGTTCTTAGTCACACTGTGTCCCAGATGTCACACAAGCATTTTTATTTACATACAGCGTAGATTTACATGAAGAAATTACTCAAAAATAAATTATCGGCATTTATTAAATAATAATGCTCCACAAATAAAAGAAAACAATGTTGTTTTTGTGCATAACAAAAGGCTCATAATTGTGCAGTCAAAATGTAAACTAACAGACGCTGAGCATAATAACAAAGATTTCACAGCTGCTCTGTTCCCAACTTCTACTGCGTGACTGACAGCCTGGAGTTTGAAATCCTCTTCGTAACCATGTCTCTTAACAGGTGCCATTTATGGCCCTTATACACACACAATACGGTAATATTACGTTGAACCACAGTGCGTATCACTCCGCGAGGCTCCAGACTACGGTAGCCGTAATGCTCCGACAATCCATCAAGCGCTGCAGCTCCGTAGCTTACCAAAGTCGAGCTAAAACATTTTTTTTGACAGATTGCTGAGCGCCGTGTACCACATAAAATCGTTTCGCGGTCAGTAAGCACAACAAGAATTCATACATAAGGCACGCTGTCAATTTTTAAGAAAATGAAAGGATTTTAGGCCGTGCAGCCCCTGTGGGCTGCATGTCATTAGTGTGGTTAGGTCGTTAGCGCGGTTAGCTCGCTAACACGTTCACGCCGTCCAGCCCCACAACTCGCTAATGGAGATTTGCCGTGTCCATCTTGTCGCTGCCTGCAGGTGAAGCTATGGGGGAGGAGGTGGAGTTGTGTTCAGTGAAGGAGAGGCGAGGCCGAGTAACGTTGCGTAGAGACCAAAGTGGACGAAAGAGAGGCAAACTTGTGGCTCCACAAGTATAATTATAACGTAACATAGACTATATCGATATAAAGGATATTGTCACATCTTATATCTCGTATGAAAATATATCGATATTTTTTAAAAACTCGATATATCGCCCAGCCCTAATATGTATGTATATATATGTGTGTCCAAAAAAACAAAACAAAACTGATGCCCTCCTTAACATTTTCCAAAGCTCTTCCATGGGCCTGATTGGAGTCATTGCCAGGCTGATTCTGGCCCCCGGGCCTTATGTTTGAGACCCCTCTCTTAAGTGTCTTAATAGATATGGTGATTTATTTTGTTTTAGAGATTACGGCCAGAATGGTAAAATATTCCAGTGTAATCGCAACTAATAACTGATAGTATAAAGCTGTACTGGGTATTTTAAACTGCCCATAGGTGTAAATGTGAGTGTGAATGGTTGTTTGTGTTTATGAGTTAGCCCTGTGACAGGCTGGCAGTGTCATTTCAGGGCATGAAATTTTCTCCAGGTGATGACAGTTCTGATACAGAACATTCATTTTCTTGTAAAATCCAAATAAATCTGAACTAAGCACAAAGTCTGACACCGCCGTCACTGCACCGCGATAGCACAAACATGATAATAGCAAGTCAGAGGGAGAAGCTGGCTGAATAAAACTTTATTCAGACAAAGGATACAGTTTTTAATTTGAGTCCTCAGCAGATCAGCGCCACCCTTCATTAACCTGCCCCGACCTGTTCATTAAATCACCTTTCTGCTCTAATTGGGTGGCGGTGTGTGTAATGGGCGCTGTATTCTTGTGCTCTCCGTGTAGAATAGAAAAGGAGTGATTAACAAAAGTCACATTGGTAAGAGTGTCATGCATTCGCAGCTCAGTCTCTGTCAGCAGGGTGGCCTGAGCCACATGTGGGGAATGAATAGTGTTTTCTCAAAAGATGAAAATCTAATTAAATTAAGGAGGAGGGTGTAGCCCTCGCACTGCATTACCAGAATGACAAGTAAGTGGCTGCAGAAACTTGGAGTCTCTCGCCTTCTTTGACCGAGAGGCCAAAAGTGTTGTTGACTTTACTGAAGTCTCCGTCGTTCCTGGAAAAGTAAAGTTGCCATTAAAGATGTATTTTTATGACAGTGTGAAGAAACTTTCCATCTTTAAAACTACAGTATAGTTATTGGTACCACAGGTTTTGTGACAATGGCACAATGGATGTAATCACAGTTCAGTTCACTGCCACAGTGGATTTTAAAATGAAACTATCAAGACGAGACTCCCAGCTTTAATTCAAGAGGTTTAACAAAGTATCACTTTTTTTATATTTAGTCTGCCTTCGTTTGTTGTTTGTTTGTGAGTCTCCCAGTTTTGTCTTCCGGGATTGAAGAATAGTCTCTATTGGGTTGAGATCAGGTGACTGAGTTGGCCATTGAAGAATATCCCATTATTTTGCCTCGAGAAACTCATAATCAGTTTGTGCTATAGGACCAATTTTGCAGACACTGGCTGAGTTTGAGCAGAGGGTATAGTCTTGTACACTGTACTGTTAACCCTGCTACTTCTATCAGCAATCGCACGATCAATAAACACTAATGACTCTGTTCTATTGAGAGTCAAATATTCCCAAACCATAACACTGCCTCCACCATGTTTGACAGACGATGTTGCGTTCTCCAGATCAGATGGTGTCATTCGCTCGTTACCTTGTGTGTTTTCGCCTGTGTTCCTTGTCAATTTGTCTGTGTAACCTGGTGTAATCTCTGCCCAACATTCTCCGTGCCATTTCAGCTCTTCATCCTGTTTTTGTATGGTTTCCGGTTTGTTCTTTAGTTTTTCCGAGTGTAGGTTGTGTTTTAGTTCTGCCTTCGCTTTTGTTGTCTTCACCTTCTGCAACAAAGCTCACTTGCATAGCATCCAGTGCCAGCATTTTGGGTCATTCCTCACAAGTAGGGATGGGTATCGTTTAGGTTTTATCTGATACTGGTGCCGAACCGGTACTTTTGAAACGGTGCCGGTGCTTAAACGGTGCTCGAACCGGTGCTTAAATAATGGAGAACACAAACTTTGTCCAAAAACCTCTCATGTTCAGCTGTTTTTTTTGTAAAAAGATAACAATGTTAGCCTTTTCTGCAGCTATAGGGCATATATGGTATCACTCTTGGCTGGAAGCAGTGCTTAAACAATGGAAAAAACACAAACTTTGTCCAAAAACCTCTCATGTTTAGCTGTTTTCCTCTTTTTCTTTGGTCATTTTAGCCTTTTTGGCCAGGGTGAAGGGAGTATCTGCCATCAAACAAGAAGACAGCTGCATGTAACTACGACGGTGTTTGCTAGTTCACCTTACATGCATTAATGTAATAACGTGGTTAGCTTACACATGAACAACATTAATAATAATAATAATAATAATGGATTGGATTTATATAGCGCTTTTCAAGGCACCCAAAGCGCTTTACAATCCACTATTCATTCACTCTCACATTCACACACTGGTGGAGGCAGCTACAGGTGTAGCCACAGCTGCCCTGGGGCAGACTGACAGAAGCAAGGCTGCCATATCGCGCCATCGGCCCCTCTGGCCAACACCAGTAGGCAAGTAGGGCAAAGTGTCTTGCCCAGGGACACAACGACCAGGACAGAGAGCCCAGAGAGCTACTCACCAGAGAAGAACGGCTGCTGCTGCCATCATCATCCTCATCATTTCTGCTACACTGGCAGGGCTAGGGTCCAGGACTCTCCTCTTCGGGCTCTTGGGGGATGTTGCTAACTCCGGGACCGATAATAGGCACCACACCCGCAGTAGGTACTGTGCATTTCTCGGCTTTAAAAAAAAACCCCACTATGCGTCGCTGGGTGTTTCATCAGATTCGAGGTGTTACCTCCTTTGACAGTATCACCTTAAAGCACTTGTTGCAGGCTGCTGAGTTTGCATCTTTTGCTGTGAAGTACAGCCAGAGTTTTGACCACTTCGCCTTGGTCATTTTTAATCTGTAGCTCTGCTCTAAAAGAACGTACATACCTGGGCCCGCCTACTATCCTTGGAAACGTAAAATGATTGGCTAGAATCTGAAGTGTATCACATCTCAGGGAAAAAAAAGCACCAAAATAAAGCACTGAAATGTGCGCTGCTTTTTGGTCTGGTTACTACCGTTTATGTCAGAACCGGTGCCAAATACCGGTACCCATCCCTACTCACAACACCACACGACTGCTGCCGCAGCCTTGACAGTATCAGATTGTTGAATTGTCCACTTCTAAAGTTTTTGGTATCTAGATGTATTTTAGTTTACTGCCTAATAATGAACTCCACCACTTGCATCAACATCTCTTAGATGGACACGATGCAATACTTTTGCTAAATGCATTAAATGAATCAAACATGACAGAAGTTGTTCTCTTCTTTAATGCCTGCTTACCTGACACAAAGGGTTAAATCAATGCTTTGTTCCTTACTGGCTCTTGATTTTAATTGGTGTTAAGCTCCCACACATTGTCTACTTCAAGTAGTATGTTTTTTCCTTCAATTTGGCAAGGTTTTCTCAAAGCCCCGAGGGGAGCTTTGCAAAGGCCAAAGTGGTCTGAATATTCATGACCACACAAGTTGCACTGGCTATCTTGAAATCTGAAGTTACTACAGTGTAGTAGGTGAGTTTTGTGCCTAGAAAAGGTTACTCTCTATTCTTAGAGTCTTAGTGCATGCTGTTCATGATAGTAAAGTGAGAAACTAATTCCACTAATTAGGTTCAAATATAACACACAAGTCCACGTGGAAGGCTATGCAACCTGCACCCACGTTCACTAAGCATAGCCAGCAAAATCCTGTGCACATACATGTGAGGAATTATGCAGCAGCAGAGTGTGGTGTGAGTGCTGGTGTGTTCCTTTATTCCTTTAAACGGAGCCAGCTGAGCTTATGCGCTTTATGTGTGTCACTTTAGGTTCTGTCACATATGCAAATATCCACACCGAGACTGTTGCAAACCATGTTCGCACTCAATGAGTCTTAGTTTGAAAGCTTTTTCATGACTTGCTGTTAAGTAAAAGCTGCTGATTCGTCCACATTTTTAAACCTCCATATGCTGCACATCTCCACTCCGCTGAGCTGCTAATTCCTTAAACAGTATTTTTATTCCCCGGTCTAAAAGGGAGCCATTAAAGGATCCAGTTCAGGTGTGTCACCACTGACACTGGATTTTGTGGCTGGAGAATATTTTTATAGCTTTTCAACCTCAATGCATCATCATGATCATCGTACGACAGAGTCCCAACACTTAGTGCTGCTGGTACACTTTAATGCACGACTCGCCTCTCGCTGTTCGAAACTCCATTTTTATTTTTTTTTAATTAAAAATGCGAGAGACAAAGGCGACTGCACAAGTGAATGTAGAACGCTGTGTAAATGTTTTTATGCACTACATGATCAGATTTGTTTCTTGATGCAACACCATCAAGCATGACTCTTGGACCAAAATTAATTCATCAAGCTCCCGCAGAGCCCTGATCTCGACATCAAGAAGTCAGACTGGGATCATGTAAAGCGACAGGAGGTGTTCAGAAAAGTAAAGCAACTTCTCCTCAAAAAATAGCTTTTTCTTCCCCTTTTCTCGTCATTCTTAGATTTCTTTTAGGGGATAAAAGTGCTGCAAAGTACAGCAGTTCTGCAGAGGGCGAGATTGTTCATTTTGTGCACTATTTTTATTTTATATGTTTACATTAGTTTATATATGATGGTATTCATTTAATGTAATCTTTACCTCACATTGGAGACTGCATTCAGTGAAGCTAAAGCACAGTTTTATAGTGCAGGAAACCAAACAGCTGCTGTAGCTAAACAGACCACGGTAGCTAATGCATGCTAACCTAGCATGACCGCTGCTGGTCCAGGAGATCTGTTCATGTCAGAAGCTCGTTCATAATCCACTGAAGCTTCCGTATAGCAAATCACTGGGATTGTTCACTGGGTTTCCTCTGTCTTGAACTATAAAAAGCTTTGATATGATTGTTGTGAACTTGCACTGTTGTAGGGGAATGGTTGGGTTCAGTCGTGCTTAAAGTATCTTTCACGGCATGGAATATCATGTGAAAGCATGAAATGCATATTAATTAAATGACTTTGGTTCTGTTATTCGTATGCTCTTTCATGAAAGTAGTTCTTTCTCACTTCTTAGTCCGGTTCTAGGTCGGAGCGTGTCTGGTATTCTTCTGCTCATGTTTTGGTATAAAACATCTTCCCATGAGACAAAGTCAACGGTCATTTATGTAAGCTGCATAGTCTGACCCATGACTGTGACCTTTATATTGTTGGTGCTCTCTAACTGTCTTTACAATTATGATGAAAGTAAAGGAGGAAGTGAGGCGAGCTTTATTCAGCCACAAAGTCCGTGAGATCATGAGTGAGGTTGGGGAGGACAGATGGGATAAGAAAAGATCAGGGTGTTCGTTTCCAGTTAAAACAAACCTTATGTATCATTGGCATGTTGTTATTGTATTTTAATGCAATTTTTGATATTTTCATGAATCTTAAGAAGGCTAACCTAACATGGATGAAAGTATCTGCTTTGTTTTACTAATTCAGACAGACCAAATTACAGACTTCCTGTGTTTTGGAAGAAAAACAACAAAATGTAAATATATGATTCATTTCCCTCCACCATTTATGAAACCCTGATTTGTTTGAGGCAAGCAATTAGTGACTGCTCAGTTTTTCAATCTAAGCATTGGTGTTAATTTTTCTTTTTTTGTTTGGTCTAATATTAAAAGATATTTCTGATTGGGTGATGGTGAGTTTTAATCACATTTGCTGTGTTGTGTTTGCTTGATGCCACAATATCAGCTGTCAAAACACAGCAATCCATCATAAACACTGATTCAGCTTTTGAAGAAAATCAGTGACTTATGACCCTTTTTTCTCCCATCAACCCCACTGCAGTGTGCAAAAAAACCTTCCGGCTCTGTTATTTTCAGATACACGATAACCTGACAGACAGGTGCAATCTATTATAAGGTTATTATAAGTTTTTTTTCTTGCTACAAAGGAAAGTTTAACTGCTGACACTTTTAAAAACAGAGGAACAGAAGCAGAGCTGGCGAAGGACTTATTAAAAAAGCAAGGTTAAGTTTGTTTACTAATGTTTTCGTCTATACGGAAGCATCAAGAGAAGCCACAGCAGGTGATGAATCGCTATATCGCTTTTTTAATATTCTGTTGCCACCTGCTACGTTGCTAAAAGACTAAACCGCGGGGATTTAACATGAAATCGCCAAAGTTCACTTAAGCTGAAATGAGGGCTCGGAGAGTCGAAACGACCTCCAGAGTTTTGTGAAGCTTCATTTGTGAAGGATTTCTGAGGAATTCTGCTGATCCGGTCCCTCGGTTCTTCCCGGTTGTGCTTCTTCTCTCTGTACTGAAAGCGATGACTGTGGGAGATCTGTGCACTGATCCCACATCAGCACTCCCTAATTGGAGAAACTTGGGAAATAATAATATAGGTCTGGGATGAGATGATCAGCTTAGAGGCAGCCCATCCTTCACCTGCTGACCGTATCTTTCTACCTCCTCATCCCAGGTGATTAGAGAAATCCCCCAGACCCTGTCAGAAACTCAGAATCAGCACACTTATACACTGAGGTGAGTGCGTGATTCAATTTCTGCATGTGTGTTGTTATGTGTGTGTTTGTTCTTATCCTGCATGCTTGTGTGAGTGTATCTGTACAACGTCACAGCGGTGCTGGAAGAGAGACTTCTCTGCTAAACATGAAGTAGAATTTCCTTACATGCCAAAGCGCTGCCAGCACTCTTATGTCTGGATCTTTCTTCTGAAATGGATGATGTGTATTTGGTGCTTGAGCAGTGCTGAGTCCCGGGGGTGGTGTATGTGACAACAGTCGGTGTGTTCATGATGGCAATACTTCAGTATGTTAGTCACTGTAGCTCTAGTGATGGGTACCACAGAGACTGTATATAAAGGATGGACATGCAGAGCGTGACAAGCTGAGTATTTGAGTGCTTGATGTTTTAAAACTGGAGTTTTTGTCAAATTTATCATGTGGAATGTGGTCGCGTTGGAAGACGATTAGGAGGAAACACCCTGAGTGTAGTTTGTTATGCTTCAGTGAAAGTTGCACAGAGATGTTGTCATGCTCACACTTCCCACAGTGGGACCACACTTGGCTTGAGAACCTTTCAACTTTAATCTGAGCAGTTAGAAGAAAAGTAAATGGACTGCATTTGCAGTGATTGAAACCTGGTGTCATTCTGGACATTTAAAGTGCGTTACGCACCGAACACAAAATTATCCAGAATTTACCAGATCTGAACTTGCTGTGTAATATAAACACACACAGAGCGTGTTGCGTTTTTGTGAAAAAAATGAATTCGACATGAAGCGACGATGAGCTGATCCTGATGTTCCTGAACAAGAAAAGGAAGAAACGGGAATCCTGAGTTTATCCAGTTCTCACGACAAAGTGGCAGCAGCATAGCTCGATCCAGGAGTTCAGTGCAGGTCAGTCACAACTACTTTTGTACATATTTGACGATGTCAGAGTTTGAGCTCACGTGAGTGCAGTCGGAACCACGTCTGAGGAGGCAGACGAATACTTTCGGAGAGCCGTCTAGTTGTTTGTCTGAGCTCAAATAGGATTATTTCACTATTTCCATCTCAATGAGATTTCAGTGCTGGTGCACAATTTGAGTTACAAGCACACGTGCTGCTAAATGCAGCGGTCTGATTGGTCACATCTGTTTATTAGGATTTAAAAATCAAGCTTGGTTTGAAAAACTAAATGCTGCAAATTTGTCCAGTGAAATGGGCGAGTGGCTGCATTAAGAACTGTTGAGTCAGAAAAATGTTTTAATGCACAAAATATTTGGACATATTTTAAGTGTCTGGTGGAAGGCCATCATTGCTTTTGCTGTTTCAGTCAATACACTAATCTCATCTTATTACCAAGATTGGGTAAGAAGTTGGGTTATTTTCTCAGACTCCTGCTGGTCATCATGAGGGCTGCAGGTTAAAGACACGTTTTCTCCACAGACACTTTCAGTGTCACTTTAGTGTTTATTCCTGCTGTTTTAGTTTTACTCTGGAACCGAAATCATCTCAAATGTTTTCAATCTGATTAAAAAGAAGTTTGTTAAAAATATTCGGTGAGTTTGCTCAAAGCTGAATGCCTTGATAGTGACTGCACTCTGTAAAAGTGCTCCCCAGGTGGAGTTTATTTATTATGGCAGTTAGAAAAGTGCCTCATGTGCATGTAATAGCTCAACACAGATATCTTCCATATTTGCTGTTGCCGCTCTATAATCAGACCTTTGCATGGCCATTATGAGTCATCTCTCCCAGAGATATCACCAGTCTGTGGCCTCACACAGCTGCCAACAGGCTCAGTGCTCTGGTATAACATCATTTAGTGTCCACAGATCTTCCAGCTTTTCTTAAAGAGCAATGTTAGTAGTCCTGATGACCTCCCTAACATGAGCACATGACTTCTACAGGTCTGCCAATCATCTGAGTTTCTTTCTGTTTGTCACTGATTAGAACAACGATAGCTGCTCACTGAACCTACTAGAATGTACAACAAGAGGTTATCAGGAGTCATAACAACTGATAAGGGCCATTCAGAGTGAATGAGTGTGAATACCCGGGATTAGATTATTAGAGATAAGTTTCCAAAATGTACTATGGCAGTGTGCAGTAATGAAGTGCAATACTAAAGCAAAGCACTCAATTTCTTTCCAGCACTGATGATTCAGTGTTTTTTAGCTAAGTGGAGCGGAAAAGCACAGGTGCCTCTCCTGAATTCTGGCCTACGCAGCATCTGCTTTGGGCTGCGATGGGCGCCAGACGCTGCTTACTGTTGATTCTGTTGTGCTGGTGTAAATGAATAGAAAAGCCAGAAGCAGTCGGCTATACTCTGGCGCATTTTGTCATATTGCCAGAACCGTTTGACTGATTTCACACGTGTTTCCTAAAGCGAGAAAACACAAAATGGTTTTATGAAATCACACAGAAGCAAACAGAGAGGCTACCCGGGAACGACAACACACTGCCAGGCATGTCAACTGCACCGTGTGAGGATTTAGAGCAGCATCTAAGTGTGATTCTGAGGGCACAGGTCAGGTTTGGGATCAGCACCTGGCTCCAGATTCATCTGAGAAATAGGTCTTATTTGTTTTATGATATGAGGTGACACTGGAGAGCCCAAAGGTTCACTGTAATGTGGCTCAGATGGCAACTTGGCACCAAACATGACTGTTAAGCAAATCCAACAAAGCATCTGGGAGAAGAAGTTGACGTGAACGAAGAGGGGAAGAGGAGCCGTTAGCACTGTCAAGAGCAGTAAATGAACAGGCTCACTTTGATATTTTTATATAACTTTTTAACTTGAGTATATATCTACACATTTTCCTTTATTAGGGTCTTGTCTAAACTTGTCTAACATGTAGGTACCAACCACAGTTACACTGAGTCAGTGGACTGGACCTCTTGGCTGTCTTTGTAGAATCAGCACTTTTTAAATACAAATACAGCACAGATGATACAGCCTGCTTTCCATGTAACTGTGCAGCCCGTTCCAGAAAACTGTGCTATAGTTTTAGTTTAAATTCCAGTATTTTCTTGTCACTTAACTGGTAGCTGTGTCTATGCATTGCAGCAAGTCAACAGAGTGTGATAATGTTAGCTGATCATGGTCATGTTTGGATTTATAAAGAAATACACAACCAAATACAAAATCTATAAATCTTTAAAAAATATATGATGTGGCTATGTCTATCTTTTATATACAGTCTGTGATATATATAGCACATGGACACCTGGGTAAAACAGCTGTGGCTCCGTATTTCTGCCGCCTCAGTCGCTTCAGTGCCAAACAGGAAACAACAGTATTGACTTTCGCTGTGTCCCAAAATCTAGGCTGCATCCTTCGGAGGCTGCATTTGAAGGCCGATTACGTCACAGCCAGACGGTGAAGGCTGTCCCAATTCAAGGGCTGCTCCAAATGCGGCGGACAAATGCGTCCTTCATTTCCCCAAATTTGAAGGATGGGTCGGGTGTATCCTTCATGGCCCAGCATATCCCAGAATTCATAGCTTGGCCCAGCCAATTCTAGTTTCCAACAATGGCGGCAGCTACTTAGTTTGAATATCACTCTTATTACTCTTTCTGGGTCACAAAATAAACTTTTAAGATATTTTCAGGAGAGAATGTAGTTGTGCAAACTTCAAATATCTACTCGGTTTATCAAGACATCACATATTTGTAAAAGTGCGCCGACGTTTTCGGTGACATCTGTTACCCACCCGCACGATAGCTAACTGGGGGTTAGCTCACTAGAGCCAGCAAGAACAGTGAACTCCCGGCACATCGTTTTCAACGCCCCCGCGGTCTTTCACTACTCAGGTTAAACATGATATGTTTTTTTTTTCAGTGTTTTATTTGTTCCTGAGTAAATCAGTTTAGCTGAGATTAGAGTTATAGTTTTCACACAGCTGAATAATCGTCAAACAGAAAACTGATGAAACAGAAGTGTGAGATGTTTGAGACAGCTGAGACAGCTGGTGATGCACATCTGAAGGCTAGACCGTCCCATTTCACAAGCCTCGCACTTCCGGCCTTCTCAGTCTTCGAAGGACCCGGCCCACATAGACCACGAAGGCCGGGTCCTTCGAAGGATGCGGCCTAGGTTTTGGAACACAGCTACTGTCACAGTAAAGCTTTGTTTCCTGTTTCCTGCTGCTTTATTCAAACTTTGATGTCAAAAGAATCTATTGGTAGTTAAAATAGATAGTTCACGAATACTCTTGGTCTCTACGATGACGCCATGGAAGCCATGTGTTGCCATTTATATTTGCTCCATGTGTGAGATGCACTGCGGATATGCAGGACACAGCAGCGGTTTATTTTTCACGAAACTCGGAAACGCGAGTCTCCCCAAAGATGTAAATATTGACAAGACGTTAAGATTTAATATTCAGCCTGCACGTCTGCGCCTTTATGTTTGTGCGCGAGTGTGCACATGCCCTGGAGCACACATGTTTTTGTCTCAGTTTTGCTTTGTGACTGAGCACTTTTAATGTTTCCAGCAAGGATCTGCTCCATATTTCATCAGTTTACATGCACTGCAGAAGCATCCTGACAGTGAATATGCATTTTTTTCTAACACACTGGGATTACGTGCCTGACTTGTGGCTCTAAAAATTTTAAAAAAGCCCACAAAGGGATGCAAAACTATTGCCCGTGGTAGTGTTTGGTGTTGGTGAAAGCATGCTAATGATTCAGCAGTGGGATGACGTAAACAAGGGCTGGATGATGATCTGTGCAAAGAAAACTCCACAAAGTAAGACAACAGATCTGTCTGGGGAAGGTGAAGGAAACAGGAGAGCAGAGAGAACGGTTTGATGTGAATTTGGCAAAAGAAAAGAGGAAAAACATTTTTAGACGAGCCACTGGCTGACAGATTGCTTGTTGAGGTCACTGATTACCAGATCTTGCATTAGGAAACACTTTGGTGCTGCAACTGGTGCTTCAAAGCGAAGCTGCCAACAATCTTGTGCATGAGTTACAGCCTGATGCCTCAAATGGATGATTTTTATCCCCTCACTACAAGTAAACAAGCTTGGTGGAT